CTGCTTCGGGGAAGAGACGCATTCTGGGGTTCAGTTACAACCAGGAGGAGAACACACTTTCCTCACAGAAGATACTTAGCTGGTAAGAGCAGGAGACTCTTAATCTCAGGGTTGTGGGTTCGAGCCCCACATTGGGCAAAAGATCCCTGCATTGCAAGGGGCTGGACTTGATAACCCTCAGGTTTGCCTCTAGCTCTGCAGTTCTATGATTCTATGAACCCATCCACAAGGCCAAGGAAGACCCAGAGTCTCTTGACATATCCGGCCTGGTAGTGGAGCAGTTTTCCAAGAAGCCAAAGGCAACTGGAAGTTCCCACAGCCCCTGCCCCCCTATTATGGCCAAGTAGGGGAAGCAGCTGCCGCCAGCACTGCTGCTGCTATGTCAGTCCCTGTGTGCTAGGTGCTGTACAAAGAGGAGAACCATCTACTCCCAGACACACTATGCAAAGGCACAAGGCTATGGCAAAACTTGGTGAAGGAGCTGTGGCGATGCGGGAGGAGAAGTTAAACAGCAACTGAAGAAAAAGAATGGGCGGCGGTTGTTCAGGGAAGGACAGGGAAGCGGCAGTGGTGAGATGACAGCAGCAGCAGCTTGGCGGGCAGAGCGTGTCCAAGAGCAGAAGCAGAACATGGGGAGGAAAAGAACCAAAAGGCGGCCGTGGCAGATCAGCTTGGCTGGAGTGTGTGTGTGTGTGTATAAGCACAAAAGGGAACAGGCAGGATTCGGAGGGGAAGGTCTGGAGCTTGAAACAGAGAGTGAGGAGAAAGGCCCAACTGTGCCAATGTATTTCAGAGTTAATTTAGAAGGCCAGCAAAGCAAGGAGGGACACCAGCACAACTGACCTGCCCTATCTCACTTCTTAGCAAGAACGGCCCAATTTCCCCTTCCCGAGGCACAATCGCCTACCTCCAAGTTTCGCTCCAAAGGACAAGGCTGGCCCCTGACCGAGTGCTCCTGTGGAGGCAGAGGTGGCAGGTGTTGACGTCAGCAGCCCAAAGCCTGAAACTGGAGCTGGAACAGAGAATGGTTAAGAGAAGCAGTTATCACCTTAAATTCCTTCTCCAGTCTGTGCTTGAGTAGAATGGCATCTTTGGGACACAGCTGCATTACGTCGCCGCAAAGGGACTCAGCCCTTCACCTATATACAATTACCCAACTTTGCGTATGGAGGGCATCTGTCCTCACAAAGCTTGCAAGGCAACTTGTCTACAAAGAAACTCTGTCTTGCCAGAAGTGCTTTTGCACAAGGGATGGCATCTCACCTGTTGTCTGCGCCCCAAGGCCAAACGCCACAGCTGGCTGCGCTGTGGATACTGTGGTTGTAGTAGGGCCGGCCGCGGATGCAGGAACCCCGAACGCCAAGCCAGTGGAGGCGGGTGCTGCTTGCTGCGTCGTATTCCCTATGGCGCCAAGGCTGAAGCTGGGGGCCGCAGCCTGCGTTGCTCCCATGCCTCCAAAGCTGAAGCCTCCGGTTGTGGCAGGCTGGGTAGCGGTGTTGGAGCCAAACACAAAGCCGGAAGGAGCCACTGGCTGGCTGGCAGGGGCGCTACTGGGTGTGGATGTGCCCAGTCCGCCGCTACCAAGCCCAAGCGCCCCTGTAATGCCAGCTGATTGTGTTGTGTTGGTGCTGCTCAAGTTCAGCTTGGGGGCATTTCCCCTAAATAAACAAAAAAGAGCAGAAGAGTCCAGGGTGGATTTTTGGCAGATATTCAAAGCATCCCAAGTTCTCTTGTGCCATTTTTTTTGCTGCTACTTCTGTATCATTTCATTCATTTTATTTCTGACTAAAGTCTCAGGGTAGGTTGTTTGCCCATTTACCACAGGATTTTTAACATTCCAGCTGAGCCCAAGGAGACTGGCAACCGGTGTTAGGAATTAGCCAGGCACCAGGTGCATTTTGTGACTGGCGTGGGTCCAATTGAGAACATCTCCATCTGGCTGGCCCCTCCAGCTTTTGGAAGCAAGTAAGCAGAAGAACTTATTCACTGCATTTATTTCCCACCTTTTCCTGCAAGGAGTACAGTCATACCTTGGTTCTCAAACAGAATCCGTTCCGGAAGTCCATTCGACTTCCAAAAACGTTTGAAAACCAAGACGCGGAAGCAGCGTCGGATGTTCGGATTCCAAAGAATGTTCGCAAACCAGAACAATCCATTCTGGGTTTGCAGAGTTCAGGAGTCAAAACATTCGAGTCACAAGGTGTTCAACAACCAAGGTACGAATGTACATGGTTAAGCCTCCTTCTCAGTTAATCCCTACAATGACCTGGTAAGGTAGGTTAAGAGGCTGTGAATGACTCCAAGGCTTCCTGTATGGGTGGGGATTTGAACCCTGATTTCCCAGGTTTTGGTCCAACTAACCACTACACCACTCTGGTTTCCTGGAGTTCTTCTGCTACGGGGCAGCTCTATAAATTAAGGAGGTCAATAAATATGGGGAAAGCCAAATGTCCCTTAGAGAAGGATCTGACATATTTTCCTGGAAGCTTGCATTTGTTTTATTCTGCATTGATTTATTTTATCTTAATGTACTGTCAACCGCTTTGAGATTTTTTGCTTTAAAATATAAAGCAGTATAGAAATTAAATTATTATCATCAATAATAATAATCAATAATAAGCCTTCAATGGGAAGGAATGGTGCCTAGACACACTATTGTGGCGGCTGTAACCTAGGTTTAAGGTGCCATTTTGTGCCATTGCTGGGAACCACCCTGGGCACCAGCTCCCCCACCTAAAGCTATAGGTTGTACAAGACAGTGGTACTGTGGTTCTCAAACGCCAAAAACCCGGAAGTAAGTGGTTCCGGGTTTTCAGAAGCCAAATGTCTGATCCTTAGGGCTCAACAAGCCTCCCACCCACATGGGATTGTGCCAACCTTACCCCAGTGTGAACACATTTCCAGCTGCAGCTGGTGCCGACGTGGCAGGTGTGCCGAAGCTGAATCCAGAGGTCTGTGCCGATGTCGCTGGGGGAGCGAAAGAGAACAGGCCTGCAGGCTGGGTGCTTGCTGGGTTCTGAGCAGCTGTACCAAAAACTGAAGCCTCCTCCTGTGGTGGCTGAAGAGAAGGAGAACCCCGCGGGGGCTGTGCTGGCTGCGGTTTTCGGAGTCCCGAAGCTGAAGCCTCCCCCAGGAGTGCCAGGTGTGCCCAAAGTTGAACTGGCTCATGATGATGTCTGTGCTCCTGCGAGGAAACAGAGAAAGAGAGCTGCCTCGTTGGCTCCAGTGCTGATGCTGCTCTGTGGGGGTTGGAGATCTCGGTGGGTGAAGCCACCCAAGAGCACAAGAGGGGTGGGGTGGGGTGTTGAAGCAAAGGCAAACTGTTTCAGAAGCTCTGCAAATGCCACCTTGGTTACAAAGATAACCCCACAGTAAATATGGGGGGGATCTAAATGCCCCTTAGAGAAGGAACTGAAATATTTTCCTCAAAGCTTGTATTTGTTTTATTCTGGATTGTTTTATTTGAGGTTTCAATGTGATGCCAACCACTTTGAGATTTCCCCTTTAAAATATAAAGTGGTCTAGAAATGGATACTACTACTACTAATACACTCTAGTGGGAGTGGAAAAGGTGCCTAGGCATATTGCTGTGGCAACCATAAACGGTTTTAAGGTGCTATTTGGTGATTAGCTTATGCATCTCAACGGCCTCCTCGGTAGCAGAACGCACTCTGTGGAATGCCCTCCCGTCAGATTTCAGACAGATAAACAAATATTTGACTTCTAGAAGGCAGCCCTGAAGGCAGCCCTTAGGAAAGTTTTCAATGGCTGTTTTATTGTGTTTTTAATGCTGCGTTGGGATCCAGTCAGATGGGCAGCATATACATAATAAATCACCAACATCATCATATAAGTTTCTAACGCTGCCCACCAAAGACCACCAGTGTCGAAGCAATGACTCTTCAACATCAACTTTGTTGGACTGGTCATGTTGTTCGGATGCCTGATTAACGTCTTCCAAAGTGACTACTCTATTCCAAACTTAAAAATGGTAATATTAATGCTGGTGGTCAAGAAAAGAGGTTTAAAGACTCTCTGAAGGCAAATCTAAAAAAATGTAGTATAAACACCAACAATTGGGAAACACTGGCCTGCAAGCGCTCCAATTGGAAAACAGCCTTTACCAAAGGTGTCATGGGCTTTGAAGACACTCAAACTCAGGACGCAAGGGAGAAACGTGCTAAGAGGAAGGCACGCTTGGCAAACCTTCACTATGATCAACCCCCACCCAGAAACCTATGTCCCCACTGTGGAAGGACGTGTGGATCCAGAATTAGCCTCCAGAGTCACTTGCGGACTCACTGTTAAAACCAGGTTTATGGAAGACAATCTTATGGAAGACATAATAAATCATCATCATCATTCCCTGTTTTTAATGTCTGAAGTTTTATTCTGTTTTCAATGTTCTGTTGAAAGCCGCCCAGAGTGGCTGTGGAAACCCAGCCAGAGGGGTGGGGTAAAAATACAGTGGTACCTCAGGTTAAGTACTTAATTCGTTCCGGAGGTCCGTTCTTAACCTGAGGTATCACTTTAGCTAATGGGGCCTCCCGCTGCCGCAGCACAATTTCTGTTCTCATCCTGAAGCAAAGTTCTTAACCTGAGGTACTATTTCTGGGTTAGCAGAGTCTGTAACCTGAAGCGTCTGTAACCCGAGGTAGTAGTAGTAGTAATAATAATAATAATAATAATAATTTTTCTTTATACCCCGCCCTCCCCAGCTAAGTCTGGGCTCAGGGCGGCTAACAAGCAATAATAAAAACAAGTTGAATGAATACAATTTAAAAACAAGATTAAAATACAACATTAAAACACTGTAAAATAACACTGTAACAAATTATTATTATTATTAGTATCATCATCATCATCATCATTTCTAACGCTCCCCACCCACTACTTCCAGCCCGTCAAGTTAAGGGCTCCAGCGACCAAAGGGGACCGTCCCCCGTGGGCGCCTCATGCCAGATCTCGCCGCAAGGAGCGGATTGACTTCGACTCCATACCTGAGCTTCTAACCCTGCTCCTCCTCCTCCTCCTCCTCGTGCTGCTGCTCTCAGCGCTAACGGCAGTCGTCTCCTGCGTCCGCGAGAGGGTCTTGCGGGGCCGGGGAAGAGCAACTGTCAATCTCCCCTTCCCTCCTCGCCTCACCTCTCTGGCGGCGTCTCCTCCGCTGCGCGGCAGTTACGCTCCTCGGCCGCGCGCCCTTATGACGGCACGGATGTCAGCGCCCGTCCGCGCGGAGGTTCCGGCGCCTCCCGATGTCGTCTTGGCGCTCCTCCGCCAATGGGCGCGCCGCATCCTCCTTGTACCCGCGCAGGCGCCGTCGGGCCGTTGCCGTGGCGACGCGGGAGACGCTGGCGGTGGCAGGCGGGCAGCTGGCTTTCTGGGCGCTGCTGCGAGTTTCTTTGTAGCCGCCCTGGCGATGGAGCCCCCGGAGCTGGGTCTCTGCTCGGCCTCCTCCTTGCTGGCTCTCTCTCAGTTGCTGTCGCCGCCGGAGGAGGAGGACGAGGACGCAGGAAGAGCGATAGGGGTGAGAGCAGTGCCGGATTTATGCATAAGCTAAGCAAGCTATAGCTTAGGGCCCCACTCTCTTGCCCCCCCAATATGTTGTTGTTGTTGTTGTTTAGTCGTTTAGTCGCGTCCGACTCTTCGTGACCCCCTGGACCAGAGCACACCAGGCCCTCCTGTCTTCCACTGCCTCCCGCAGTTTGGTCAAACTCATGCTGGTAGCTTCGAGAACACCGTCCAACCATCTCGTCCTCCGTCGTCCCCTTCTCCTTGTGCCCTCCATCTTTCCCAGCATCAGTGTCTTTTCCAGGGAGTCTTCTCTTCTCATGAGGTGGCCAAAGTACTGGAGCCTCAGCTTCCCGATCTGTCCTTCCAGTGAGCACTCAGGGCTGATTTCCTTCAGAATGGATGCGTTTGATCTTCCTGCAGTCCATGGGACTCTCAAGAGTCTCCTCCAGCACCATAATTCAAAAGCATCATTTCTTCGGCGATCAGCCTTCTTTATGGTCCAGCTCTCACTTCCATACATCACTACTGGGAAAACCATGGCTTTAACTATATGGACCTTCCCCCCCAATATACTTATTCTTAATTATGTTTCAATATGAATATACTTCTTCTTAATTGTATTTCAGTTTAACAATTACTTTGAAAAAATACATATCTTGTTCTGTGCAAATGGCTTTAGATACCTATTAGGTCCATAAATTACAGTCATACCTTGGGTTACAGATGCTTCAGTTTGCGTTTTTCAGGTTACGGACGCGCCGAAAGCCGGAAGTACTGGAACGGGTTACTTCCGGGCTTCGGTGGTCGCGCATGCGCAGAAGCGCTAAATTGAGCTTTGCGCATGCGCAGAAGCGCCGAATCGCAACCCGCTCGTGTGCAGACATTGCAAACGCTGCGGGCTGCGAATGTGCATCCCGCACGGATCACGTTCGCAACCCGAGCGTCCACTGTACCATATAGCATATATTCAACACAAAAAACAGCGACAATTTGTTGTTGACAGCTGGACATATAAAGGGCCCCATTACCTTCAGTAGCTTAGGGCCTCATCAAATCTAAATCCGACCCTGGGTGAGAGGAAGGCCGGGGGTGGGGAGACCCCCTCCCCCTCCAGGGGTTTATTTCTCTCTTTAAACATGACCTTTTAAAATTAAATTTTCAGATTTTGCCATTTGTTTTAGAATCCTAGAATCGTAGAATTGGAGGGGACCCTGAGGGTCATCTATGAAAACCCCCTGCAATGCAGGGATCTTTAGTAAAAGGCGGAAGATTTATACGATCTGAAGAGAAAGCAGCTGAAAACAGTAGCAGGACTGCAGTGACACTTGTAACGTAACAAGAAATATGGACATAATGGAGTGATTAAAAATTTGGATTGTTGAAAAAAAGATGCAGTAGAAAAGGTTTAACAACAGAACCCATGGAGGGGAATGTGGGAAGGTCCAGAGACTTGGAGGAATCTTTAAACTGTGGATATGATGTGGTGTGATTATAATGTTAAATATGTAAAACCAAATTATTAGTTTTTTTAAAAAGAGCAAGGCAGGAATCTCAGCTAAAGCCTCCTTGACAGATGGCCATCCAACCTCTGCTTAAAAAGCCTCCAAAGGAAGGCTTTCCAATAGAGACTGTTCCACAGTCAGACAGCTCTCACTGTCGGAATGTTCTTCCTGATGTAAACATCAGGAATCTCCTTTCTTGTAACTTGAAGCCATTGGTTTGAGTCCTACCCCCTCCCGGAGCCGGAGAAAACAATCTTGCTCCCTCTTCCATGTGACAGCTCTTGAGATATTGGGAAATGGCTCTTATATCTTTAGACAACATTCAGAACAAATCTTTCCTATTAATTGAACTCCCATCCACCCTTCCATAGTGTGGTTTTCTAACCAAATAAAGCTGCTATATTACTTAGATTTTACCCATTATATACATTAATTCTAACTTGCTAAACTATCCGTTCTCATCTGTTGCTATAATTCAAATGCTGCATATGTTTTCACACAACCATGCTATTAAAAGACAAATTCCACAAAATATTTCCATTCCTCAAGAATTTCCCCCTCATCTTTAATTCTGCTCTCCCATTTTGCGCTTGCGGTCCCATCCCAAGCTTCTTCCAAAAGAGAAAAAACCCGAAAAGACGGTAAAACCGCTCCCACGCTGCCGGGAAGCCTATCCCCAGGGGTCTCCCCGCTGGGATTTTTGGGGGGCGCAGTGCCTTTGCGACACCCCCAAGCCTCCGTGTTGTTCAGAAAACCCTTTGCAAGGGCTTTCTGTGCTTCCTCGCTGTCCGCGACCCAAACCGGAAGCCATAAGTGTGCTTTAGACCTGCCTTCTTCAGGGCGGCTCATGGACAAGGGCTGAATGCAATCTTTCTGCAGGTGAGCAGCGCAGGCCCAGGGAACATTGGCCCCCCAAAGGCAGCAGCGCCCACAGGTAAGCTGGGCGATATGATGATTTGTTACATTTATGTACTACATTTATCTTCCAAGGAGCTCAAGGTGGTGTACACGGTTCATCTCCTCCCCATTTCATCCTCTCAGGAACCCTGTGAGGTAGGTTAGATGGTGACTGGCTCTAGGCTAGGGCACCCAATGAGCTTTATGGCTGAGTGGGGTTTCAAACCCAGCTCTCCCATGTCCAACACTCTAATCATTATGCCACAAAGCAAGGAGTGAGGAGATTTTTTTTGGGGGGGGGAGCAGGGTGCACAGGGACATCACTGATATGCCATCAAAAGGTTGCCTGCAGCGTCCTGTTCATGCATCACTCAGGAAATCTGAAAATAGCAGACACACCCTCGGCATCCGTTGAAACAACAAACCCCAGCGATGCCGCTCACACATGGAAGGAATCAGTGAACTTGGTAACAAGGACAGAGCTGCAAGGCACCTCCATGCATCACACAGAACACACAACAGTGTTCCTGCCCTGTGAGCCCTGGTGGCATAGGCAGCCGCAGCCTTCAGATCCCATTAGGCTCCCTGTAACCATTGTCTTAGGGCAAGAAGACACAGAAAGAGGAGTGAGGAGAACTCAGTGGCCAGCACTGATGTAGCTCCCTTAACAGGAGGCCTGCAAGGAGCACATACAGCCAGGTCGAGGGTTTTGTGAGCCTTTGGGCAACAAAATGTCCATGGATCCTCTTTGAGCTCCCTCTATTTAAAGTGAGGCTGGCCTTATAATAATAAAACTTGGAATTGCAGCAATGCACAGGACTCTTACTAATGTATGTATAAAGGTAAAGGTAAAGGGACCCCTGACCATTAGGTCCAGTCGTGGCTGACTCTGGGGTTGCGGCGCTCATCTCGCTTTATTGGCCGAGGGAGCAGGTGTACAGCTCCCTGTGGCCAGCATGACTAAGCCGCTTCTGGCGAACCAGAGCAGCGCACAGAAATGCCGTTTACCTTCCCGCCCAAGCGGTACCTATTTATCTGCTTTGCATTTTGACGTGCTTTTGAACTGCTAGGTTGGCAGGAGCAGGGACCGAGCAACGGGAGCTCACCCCGTCGCGGGGATTCAAACTGCCGACCTTCAGATCAGCAAGTCCTAGGCTCTGTGGTTTAACCCACAGCGCCACCCACGTCCCTTAATGTATGAATACCGGCACCTAATTTTTTACCAATAATGTTGTGAACCACTGTGAGATCTAAGAGTATAGGGCAGTATACAAATTTAATTAACATCATCATGATCATGATCATCAACAACGAAAAGCACTGGCCTATATATAAGCCCATCCTTTCTAACATCAGTAGCAATTTCCCCAATGGCATCATAACAGGTACTAAATCATTATTTGTAGTGATGTACGAACATCTCTGATTAATGGGATTTCAGCCGGTGATGAATGGGATTTACAACTTGAAAACCAAGGTGCTTGTTGATTTACAGACACTGTCTTTTAGATGCTCCCTCGTGCCATGATTGTGTTATGAGCCAGAAGTGGCCTGTTGCCCTGCAAGTATCAAAAGGCCAGGGAGCTGTGTGTGCTCTGCAACGACAAGTAAACCAGGTGATTCTGTCTTCCTGCTTGCAGCTGCCACTCAAGTGAAATATGGGAACAGCAAAGAGATCTGGAGCGCAGAGGACGTGCCGGAGGATTCCGAGTACAATGATGATGCCTTGGACTCCAGGGAACAGCCTGAGTAAGCCCATCTGAGCTCCACATGCCCAGCCAGGAGGGCTTGCCTCTCTCTTCCAAATCCTTGCTCTGATTTGCCTTTGGATGAGGGAGTTATCAAAACAGTCTTGTATGGGTTGGTTCAGTGTTTGAAATTAACCGGGCACCAGTCGCATTTCACCACAGGCGACAGGCCTTTTGCGAGTAAGTGGAGATGTCTGGTCGCAAGCTTTGACGACTAACATCTGGCTGGCTGCTGCTGCCATACCGTGCCAGTCACGAAGTGGGGTTAGGAGTGCAGCTTTATAAATTGCATTGAAATTGCTGCAACACATGAGTAGCTCTGGAGCAGCTGACAGGCAGGGCAGGCACCGTCCTGGCAGAGAGAAGGAGGCAATTAAATCTTCTGCTGTTTCAAACGGGTGTTGCTACCAAATCTATAGACAAAGTTCTCTTAAATTTTTTGAAAATACATTTTACATATCTTAGTACATCAATTATACACTTGTAGTCATTTATCTTACACTCTTTGGTTACCACACACATCCCTCTTATTTAGTCCTTGTTAAGTTGCATCTC